GATGGTTTTAATATATAAAACAGTAGAATCCCGCAAATCCGAACCCGGAAAACCCAAATTTAGGGTAATCTGAACAAAATTCCGGATAGAGTAAAAATAAACTATGTAACCGCTCGATGTGTTAGCCATTGATGACGCGTATATAGTGAGAAAAAGTATTAAAAAAGTGAATATTTCAAGCACTTCGATTATGTGCGCTTTATCACGTATACTGGAGCTCTGAGCAGATCTGGTGAAAGGTCACTTCGCCTGTACTGAGCGGTTGGGCTTCCTCCGGCCGATAACGCTACACGCCGGCGCTTCATGAATCGGCGGATTACCGGTAATGACAGTTCTTTTGGAACCCTAACACGCGGTCTGGGGTGACCGCGCTTTCATGTGCAATTTCTGAATAGAAAGGGCTTCGCAAACGCCATCCTTTTACTCGTGGGGTGAAAGCGGTGAGTCCACGAAAGTAAATCCCGTAGAAAAAAAAATGAATGTGAGTATAAAACCCACAAAGCCCCCGACAGAACTTTGGCAGAATACTAACCAATGAAGGAAACCCTTTTGAGGCAGCTGTGTTTGTGACTCACAAGTATTGTTGAGGAGGAAGGAGTCGGAGAAAAATAGCGGGTAATCTGTGAGGGTGTAAATCAAAGGAGTTGAGCTTTAAAATATAATTTATACATGGAGTAACTTTGTATTTGCCTTTTATTATTTTGTATTTCTGCGAATTGCGCGAAAGTCTGCATATTGCAGTTTAGAAATATGACGATTACCAGAAATAGTGCGAAAATTGTTCTTCCTTGCATCATTTCAAAAATCTAATAATTTCCGAGTGCCAAGCCACCACAAACAAGTGATCAGGGTTAAAATTTGAAACACACAATGTCGGTTTTCCAATTTGTTTCATTTACAACTTATGGCCAATACAATGCAAGAAATATCACTAATTTTAAAATCAACCACGGCAACAGATTTTAATAACTTTTGGTTACAAAATTTATTTATATTTGGTCAATGACAAAATATTTATTTTGTTTCTCAGTGTTTAAATAGTCTATTGTAAACATTAAAAGTGTCAACACATGAATTAAATCAAAAAGAACTAATAAACATTTATTATATACTACTTTTTCATAAATCTACAACGCTCTGAATAAAATCACATTATCGATTATTTTAGGAGTATTTTTACAAACTAACAAACAGAAAAGTCATTCGAAATACTTCGAAGAGTATTCACAAAGTAAAATTATCTGCCACATAGCTTTGAAATATTCTTAGGAAAAACACAGAGTGATAAAATCTAAGTATATTTCCAAATGCCCTCACAGCTTTCAATACAACCTCTGCTGCAGGGCTCTGACTGAAACGTTTTCTCACTCAACACCCAGCGTTCAGAGAGCTTGGGCGTTTGCTCGGCTGTTCTAGCCATCACAAAACGCGAGCGAATTTGTGCAGCAGGGCGTCTGCTGGGAGAAGACCCGCCTTGATTAACGAGGCGTCATGTCGCGGCGCCTGAGCTCTAATGACGGCCGTGGGACGGCGCCACCGTCGACGGCTGCTCGCAATCGCCACTGTCACCCGCGCAGACATCCTCGCCCACAACCCTGCTCGCTCTACCCTCCCCGCCAATCGTGCGGTCATCACCCCCAAACATTCTCGCCCCCCTCCAATAAACCTGCCGTTTCCTCACCCTACCCGCTCTCACTGCTTTCACCTTCTTCGCTGACACACCAATCCCGCATCCACATCCTCTCCGAACATCACTTCCCTGATGCCGTCGCAGCTGCTTCCCGCGCCGCCGTCGCGAACATCAATCCGCAATTGCGTCTTCCTCACCACCCTCGTATCCGACACCTTACCACGACCATCCTCACCAATTCTACTATCACCACCATGGACTCCGCTGCGATGTGTAGAGTTTTTGCTACTACCACTACCATTATTACCATCGCCAGCACCACTTCCCCCACCAGTACCAGCACAACCACCACCGACTCTGCCCTCTCCGCTTTCAACAGCGCTATTCCTCCTACCCACGCCCATGGCGCAGCCGCCACCCTACCTGACTCCACCCTTTCTCACCCTCCTCTGCCACCGCCAAAGCTGCAGCGTCCTCCAGCACATCGCCAGCTCGATTTTTCGCCGGTTGGCTCTTTCCTTGAGGGACAGCTGCGTTGGTGTGCGAGGGCGTATGAAGGGCGGTGCAGGCCGTTGTGTGGGTGGTAGGCTATTGAGGGTTTGGGCCGGGGAGATACGTGGGCGGTGCTCGGGCGTGCAGGGGGCGGTGCTGGGGGCCGGTGCTGGGGCGGTGCTGGGGGGCGTGCTGGGGGCGGTGCTGGGGCCGGGTGCTGTGGGCCAGGTGCTGGGGGCGGAGCTGGGGCGCGGCGCTGGGCGGTTGCTGGGAGCAGTGCTGGGGCCGGTGCTCGGGGCGGTGCAAAGGGCGGTGCTGGGGGCGGTGCCTGGGCGGGCATGGGGGGGGCCGGTGCTGGGGCGGGCTTGGGGAGCTGGTACAAGAGACGTTATGGGTCGTGTGGGGGGCGGCTGCGGAGGTTGGTACGGCGGGCGGGCGGGTGAGGTGGCGGGACGGGGGTTGCTACGAGGGATGGTGCGGGGGCGGAGCGGGGCTGAGAAGGGAGTCGTGCGGAGGCGGGCCAGGGACGGGGCGGCGCAGTGCGTGGGCGGGGTGATGAAATACGACGCGGGTTAATGTCTGGAAAGGCGGCGGTCCGCGCTGCCGGCTGCGGGCGAATGAGTTCATAACGTTTCATAAGCCCCGCTGCGCCCGCTGCGCCCCCGCGGCCACTTGAGGGGAACCCGGAGGCGGCGGAGGACGAGATGTCCAGGAGGGCGGGAGGGGGGAGGCGAGATGGAAACGGAAAGAAAAGGGGGGAATCGAGATGAGAGGCGATTAACTGGACGGAAGCGAGCAAAGGGTTGGTTTGGTGCCAACGCCGTTCGGCGAAGTTTGGGCGGTGACGGAGAGAGAAAGATGGAACGTACGTGGAAGTTTTGAGGAAATAATACTTCGACGTATTTCGTAAAGACGAGAGGAAATTATGCATTTGATGGCTCCGGTTAGCGTATTTCTGAGATAACTAAATGTACAAGATAGATGATTAGTAATTTTTGCTAGGATAAAATTCAGTGACCCATTGTTTGGACTGGGAGTTTTGGGATGGGATATCACCAATAAGCTGACAATTAAACGGCGGTGTTTAACTGGACGGAAGGGTGTTGGATCAGTGCCAATTCAGTTCTGCGACATAAGAGCAGGAATTGGTACCGGGAAAGTGGTACGTGCAAGTTCTTAGGAAGTTATTTAAAAAAAAAAGTCAATAACGGCCTTGAGAAATGAAGCATTTAATAGAACTTGTTTGCAAATGTCTGTGCAAACCAGATCTATTAGAATAATGTTTGGAATTCCTGCATGACCGAGCCTTGTCGAAGTTTGGCTAACTAACTACCTGCTTACGACGCACGGATGCCCCTTTAGGGCCGGTTGTACGTGCTTGGGATTCTGGTCTATCTGAGATGCGTCCAACTGTCCCAGCCAGTCACTCCAGCCCACCCTCCGTCTTTGCTTAGAATTAAACGATGTCACTCAATGTGAATACCAAGTCCAGTGCCTGCGTATTTGGAATTCGGATGTTGCGGAAAGGGAGAAGTCTAAAGCGGGGGCGTCAGGGGGGTGACGAGGGTCATAACGCTGGACACTTAATTCTGAAGAGGAAAGCATAAAGAGGAAGCAGTGAGGAAAATGATATTTCGATGATATACGCAAATGATATACGCAGAGGAAGGGTAGCGCGAGCAAGGAAATAGTTAATGGCAGGAAAAGAGTTGTGAGGAGACAGTCACGTGAGAGTACCGAGTGTATAAAGGTAGAGTTATAACAAGGGTACATACGGAATACATAATCAAATTAACGTTCGCATTAAAAAGGAGGTAACTGCACACACAACATCGTGCTTTTGAAACCGCGCAGATTATTACGACTTCAATTCTATTTGATAAATGACTAAGACAAGGCGGCCTCTTTGTAGACGAGAAGTTGCAAATCGAGTCTGATGCTACCCTCGCTACATCCGCTTCCGGGCGACTGCTCTCCCCACGAATCTTCGCGGCGGAGGAAGGGCCGAACCCTTAGGGCATACGGGGGGCAGAGGGCGGTGCTGGAACGCGGCGATAAAGGGCCCATGCCCTCAGTGCCACCGCCTCGCCTTCGCTCAATTGACCCGATGTAATTAAGGCCGTACTTTGCCCGAAGGGCCTGCCGGTGTCACCCATCTCGAATTCTCGGTACATTTCGCTGTCTGCTGGTCTTGGTTTCTTGGTGCATTGTGACTCCCAACATTGCCTCCTCCGCAGAGGGTGCTCCGCCACTATTGCTTCATGAAACTCTAGAGGTGGGGCAGGACTGCCTCCAAAATCTACAGTTCTATATTTTTCTCACGATCATTGACATTTATTTAAACATTTTACATATACCACGTTCGGTAGTATGCTTAACTGCTGTATTGAAAACCGTTCTTTCCCTACAAAACCGTTCTTAAAGATCCTGTCACTTTCTCAAATATTTCGAGACATTTAGTTACGTAGGTGATGTCCCTTTCCTACGACATTCTAGCTATAGCAGAATTTCCTCAAAAGAAATTTCTCCAAAGACCAAAATAAGTTATTAAACTCTCGTTTTAGCCTTTACATTAGTCATTCTGATAAACAAGCACTCTACATCAGAATAATAATAATAATAATAATAATAATAATAATAATAATAATAATAATAATTTCTTCTGAAATTATGTGAAAAGAGGTCATCTTTTCATTACACAAAGTATCTTCTAGCATTTGTCACTAGAGATCTATTTGGGCTTGTTACCGTTAAAAACTATTCTACTCATACATTTTGAGGTTTGCCTTGCATTGTTTCGTAAACCACATTACGCTTATGCGCTCAGCTATTTATACTAGTAGTAAACTCACCCACAGCAGTAAGTTTGTGACGTTCACGAGAGGGGCTTAAATGCATTCAGACATACCTGCAACATAGAAATAGAATAAATATTAGTCAGAGGTATATTAGTTCGCTTGATGAAATATTGTTTTGAATATAAATACCATAAATGATATGCAATTAACTGGGTTACTATTCTTTAGTTTGTTTTTAAGGAATTAGAATGGTCATTTAATATTTTATCTCCAGTTCATTACATGACTTTTACAAGTTAACCGAAGTTCAATATCGCAGCGTTGGACAACGACGAAGTAAAGTGTTGCAAGACACATAGACCACGACCTTGTCCCATTTACAATTTAAATTACCATTCAACTTCGGGGAATGTAACTTATGCATTTTTAATCCATAGGCTTTAATATGTTGCGGAAAACATTTAATTTCATTTGTTTTTAATAACGAAAAAACAAATAATTCTTAACATACAATATAATATTAAGAAAACTCGAAAACATATTTAACACGGTGATCCTAATTTGAATTTCCAAAATTATTAAAAATAAAACAAAACATTTCCAAACCAATTTCCATCATTTGTCGGAAGTGTGTTATCTATAACATCTTTCACTTAATAACTGAAAATATCCGTCATCCGATTTCGTACAATATCCACCATTTGTCATCAAAGGTTTACAAAGCAACGAAAACGCATCCCAGGCGATTGACGTCGCTTGATGCAGAAGCGTCTCTCAAGAAGCTTTGACTTCATAACGCACCAGAATCGTCATCCGCTTTCGCACTACGCAACAACGCGTAAACAATGACATTTCGTCTCCAGACGCCACTTGGTTTAAAGCGGAGGCGCAGAGGCGACTTCCGCCCCGGAGCCAAACACGGCAGCCCGTGGAGAAGTAAGCCTCCGGTAAATACCCCACGCGGAGATCCTCTTTGCGGGAAGCGAAGGTTGCCGCCGAGACAGGGCTCAGGCGGGTGAAGTGGGCGGGGCGAGCGGTGGGAGTTAGAGGAAGCGGGAGCGGAGACAAGAGCGGTCGAGAGAGCGGTCGAGATCACGGAGGAGAGAGCGCAAACGAGAGCGGAGACTCGGGCGGAGAAGAGTGCGGGGGTGGTGAGATAGAAGGAAGAAGAGAGCGGAGGGAGAAGAAATTGTAGGGAGGAGAGAAGGGGGAGCAGAGAGAGGAGAGAGCTGCGGGAAGAGAGAGCGGAGCAGGGAGTGAAGACATAAGGAGGAGAGAGCGGAGATGACGGCAGGCACAGGAATACAGTCAAGACGCGATAATGTAACGCATCCCGATTATATCCCGCGGTTAACTTTTCTAAAAGAGAATCTGACCGCAGGATGCAATCGGGGGAATTGCCGAGAAAATATCATTTTCAGAGGGTAGAGAGGAGAGAAGAGGAGCAACCAGAAATGATAGCAGAGACACACGCTCCGGCGAGAGCAGAGGCATGTGCAGTGACGGGATTGAGAATAGGGCAAAGTAGTCATGGGTGCAGAGGAGAGAACACAGCGACAAAAGATGCTAGAGCAGAAGCGAGAACAGAAAATAAAACAAAGGCAGAATCCAGGGCGAATTTGAGAGCAGAAAAAACTGCAAAAGCGAGAACAAAAGTGCGCAAAAGCCAGAACAAAAGTGAGAGCAAAAACGAGAACAAAAGTGAGAGAAAAAGCGAGAGAAGAAGCGCCGCGAGCAGAGGCGATAGCAAGACAAGATGAAAGACGAGAGGCCGGAAGACGTTGCACGAAGTTATTCGAAGAATGTAGGACAACACAATCCATTAGTGATACTAGTGATGTGTTGTAGCGATGATGAAGGTATGATAATGGTGAGCACTGAATGATATAACTGCGACTGCAGTGGCGTAAGTCACTGGCCAGCAGAGAGCATAAAAACACACACTTCCTACCAGAGATACAGACAGCAACGTGCAAGCCCCACAATGACGCTCACTTCTGCAGTTTCGAAGTCGAACCACCGCCCAGACTACGTCTCGGGCACAAGGGGCGCCTGAAGAGAGGAGACTGAGAGCGATGGTCGCGCCTCCGCCGGCGGACGGCCGCACCGGTCGCGTGACAAATGAAGACGACGCGCCGGGCATCAAGAGAACATCGGCTGCGGCAGCGGCGCCTTGAGAGGAACCAGAGATTTGATTGGACGTGTTATTAAGCGTGAAAGAACGATGACCAGCTAGCCGGCGGCGCCGCCACGAACACTAGGCATGAAGGCGCATCGAAGACGGCGGGCGCCAGAAAAAAAGGGGAGAGATTTAATGCTCTGAAAAAAGGAGTAGTAAGGAAAGACGATCAAGGAATACCTCACAGCAACAAAAGAATTTCGATAATTTATCGCACAATTTATCAACACCAATGATTATTACGTTCATAATCAACTTACGTTAGTTTTTCGTTTCCGTTTTGTGATTCATACAAGCTTTTGATTATCATCATGCCATGCAACAACTTTCGTCCTAGGAATATTTTCTTTGGGCTACTGTTAATTTTTGGGTTCAATTGCTGAAAAATTGCTTCTATTCCAAAAGTCACTAGAACACAAAATTTGACTTGGAAAATTTGTGCTGTTTTTTAAAGCCTGCGAAGGGAAAAGCGATGGGTATCTAGAAAAACCTCGTTTAGAAAATTAACCATTCATTGTAGACGAGCCTCACAGACCAACTTCATTTTATGCCGCTCGTCTTTTCATATTTTATTTAATTTTCAAACTTTTTCAAATTCAAATAAAACTTGGAAGATGTTTTCGGGGCCCAGTGCACGCCGGCACAGCTTCTGCATACAGCACTCTCTTCTGGGCGCAGGGGGAACCAGCAACTTCCGTCGACACACGTCTCCTATTACGCAACTTTTCATTCAACCGCGCCCTGCGCTCGAGTGCTCCCCACGCAAACAAACCACCCTCGCGTCTTCTCACGCGGGCTCCCGCCGCCTCGCCTTGCCTCGCCTGCCTCCGCACACGCCCCGCTGCGTCCCCGCCTCCGTTCTCTTCCCTGCGCCGGCCGGTCCGTTCCCTGCTACCCCTCCCCTTCCTGTGTAGTCCTTGTCCATCATATTGCAATTCTCTCCCCCACCCCACCCCGAATGGCACATCCCCGCTCAACTCCAGATTCAGTCCTGTTCCGAATTCGCTACGCCCCGCCTCCCTCCACCCAGCACCTTCACCTCCTGCCTCAGCTCTGAGGGCGCCTCCTCGCTTCGGACACTGCATTTTCCGAACAGCTCCCGCTCAGAACATGCTTCGGCGCCTCCCCGCCACGTCCCTCCAACCGGTGCCACTTCAGCCCGCTTCCGCTCCTACAGTGCTTCCTCCTTCTCCATCTTGTACACTAAGTCTCCGCTTCACCCCAGTCTGGGATGAGAACCCTCCTCTGCTGCTGCCCACAGCGACGCATTGCGTCCCAACAGAAGTCCCAACTCCTCTTCGCCTCCGCCTCTCTGCGAGGTAGTAATCTCCAACCTCGCTCTGTGCCACACGTGTCCCTTGCCCTCGCAGCTCCCTGCACTATTATTCCCTCCCCGGAGTAACTCGGGGCCAGCCAAGCCCGTCCCGTTCCGCGTTGTCCGGGACCGCCCCGTTTTCGGTGGCTGCCATCGCCGACTCCTGCCCCAGTGCAGATCGCACTTTGCTATTACATTGATTTCTGGCTATAATCAAGCACCCATGCCAGTCCTTCGTTGCTCCATTCTGCTCGGTTTCGCTCCGACACCGCTCCGACATCGTGTCGCTGCGCTCCGACGTTGTTTCGTTGCGCTTTCATGCCGCTCCAATCCTATCCGACACTGCTCAGTTCCGTTCGGAGACCGCACGGGTTCCGCTCCGACATTGCTGCCTTCCAATCCGATACCTCTGCTTTCCACTCCGACACCGCTCCGTTCCGCTCCTAGACCGCTCCATTTAGCTCTTCGTTCCACTCCGACATCGCTACTTTCCGTTTCGACACCTCTCCTTTCCACTCCGACACTACTCCGTTCCAGTCCGACACCGCTCCATTCCTCTCATAGACTGCTCCATTTCGTTCTGACACCGCTCCGTTTCGCTCCGACATCGCTCCACTTCTCTCTGACACCTCTCCGTTTCGCTCCGACACCGCTCCATTCCGCACCGACACCCCTCCGACACCGCTCCGTTCCGCTCCGACACCGCTCCGTTCCAGTCCGACACCGCTCCATTCTACTTCTAGACTGCTCCATTTCGTTCTGACACCGCTCCGTTTCGCTCCGACACCGCTCCATTCCGCACCGACACCCCTCCGACAGCGCTCCGTTCCACTCCTAGACCGCTCCGTTCCGCTCCGATATCGCTTCATTTCGCCCCCACATCGCCCAAGAGTTTCTCGCATCGCATTACACCGCTCTTCCTCATATCGGTCTATTCCCCTCACAGCTTCCGTCCCCTCACCGCCATCCCACCCCTTGTCATCTCGTCTCCACTCCCCGTCCCAACTGCTTCTCTTCCGTTCTCGCCCGCCCGAAAACACAAACGGTTTTCGTCTCGAATTGTTGAATAAACAGCGGCACCGCCTCCACCAGCCTTTGGGAAGAGAAACCACCAATTTTAACAGCGGAGTCTTCGGTTCCACTTGGTCAACACTTCCCGGGAACTTGCGTCTTTCGAAAACAATCGATCTACCTCCAACACTCGCTCTCTTGATGTTCATCTAACTTTGCGCCTTTAAAACCGCTTCGATCGCATTGGCTGAACAAGGCAGGAAAGGAAAGTGAAGAAAAAAAAGAGCCGAGGGCTCTTTGCAAGTCTACAAGAGGAACGACGTCTCCCGAGAGAAAGTACTCAGGCTTTCACGTCAAAGGCAATATTCATGAAATGATTCATAACGTGGTTGAAGGAAGGGGGGGCAAAAAGTGTTTCGGACAGTGAAATATTTCCACCCACGTCCTCGGGCTTCGCTGGCGTTTGCCGCTCTGACAAGCGAAGTCTTTCACGAGACAAAAATATCCCGGAAGCGAGAACTCGCCGCGTGTTTATACGAGACGTCGCTTTGCTTTCACGTTGGTTAGCGATAAATGTTCGGAAACACACATCTGAAACCAGAACC